GTGCACAAGGGGACGTGATGATGACTCCAGGGGAGACAGCCACCGCCAAGCAGGCGTCACCCACTTTTCCCTGCAGCATCAATTATTCCCTGCTCTCCATTTCTGCGACTTATCAGCGCTTCTGTCATTGCAAGTATCACGCTGTTTCATAACTGTCTATCTGCTTCCTCTTCTAGCTGCCTCTAGGGTAAGAACCATGTTTTATTTCTTTGGTTCCTTAGTATTTTGTGTGGTGTCTGACACAAAGCAATCCCTCAGTCGATATTAAGCTGAACCAAAGTCTCAGCAAAGTAAGGGCCACGTCAGCTGAGGAAGGGAGGAGATGGCTGAGACTGGAGATCCAGGCAGAAGGGGCAGAATGTAGGGCCAGAGAATTCCGGGTGTTAAGAGTAAGAACAAATACGTACTGAACACTTCATATTTTCTAGGCACTCTTAGTGATAATGTTTGAATAAGTAAAGAACACAGCTTCATTCTCACAAATTAACTTGTGCCTAGAGGATAAAAATTGAATTCGGAGGTATATACTATTTATTAACTCTATTTTACAAATAAATGAAGAAGCAGGCACAGAGAGGCTAAGTAACTTCTTCAGGGTCACACAGCTGGTAAGTGAAGGAGCCAAGATTCAAACCTGGATAGTCTGGCTCTGGCATTCCTTTTCTTCACCACTTTACTATCCTTGAAGTAGCACTGGAGACCGCCACTGAAATCGGCTGGTTTAGGAGCTGGATATAGACACCACATGAGTTTATCGTGTGCCAGTGGCCCTTCCAGTCAGCTTATCCCTGACTAAGGCCAGGACAGAGCTTCCGGAGGCCAGTCAATAATTCTCAGACTTCAGTGTGCACCCAAATTACCTCGGGAGTTGGGGTTTTTTTTAATGCAGATTCCTAGATCACACGGCCAGAATTCTTATTCAGACGTGTTGGGGTTTGAGGAAATTAATATATACTGTCCCCTTCCCGCACACCCCATACCCCAGATACTGAACCAATTTAGAGATAAAAGAGTAAGAACAAAATATTACATTATTTTCCTGACAAAGGTGAAATTAGATGCATGTGTAAGTCAAGTATCTACGGTGGATATTCGTAACACCAAAACCCAGAGTTGGAATTGCCCATCTGTCCCTGGAAGTGCTGGGCAACTGCAGCCTCGTCAGGAGGGAGCCTGCCCTAGAAAAAGCACAGGAGAACAGACTGAATGCCGGCTGGCTGTTGGCACGTGGGCTCCTGGAGGAAGGATGAGGAAGAAGCTGAACTACATAAACTCAGCTCCCTCTGAAACTCAGCAGTCCTGTAACTCCACACCCATGGGGAAGAGAGAGGGTTGGCACAAGAAGCTGGGAAGTCCTTCCTTCTAGAAATCAGAGGAGTAGGGGGAGGCAGTCTCCTGCTGATAATGAACTTCTAGGTTGAAGCCCAGGAACCTGTACTTTCAACAAGAACCTCAGGTGTTTCTGCAGCAGATGGTCCTCAGACGGTAGTTAGAGAAACAAAATTCTAGAATGGCCTAATTTTGGTGCGATATGACCTCCAAAGAAAACTGCATGGATGGCCCACTGTCTTTTCAGAAGCTTGCAGGTTAGGTTGGAAAATGACATTTAAAAGCAGCTGTCGCTTATATAGTGTTTAATCTGTTCCAGCGCCCGTTGTAAATACTTAACATAGACAAAGTCATTTAAACATATGAAGTAGCAGCAGCAACTACAGTAGTAAGAGATATCGAGGCAGAGAGAGGTTAAGTAGTTTCCTCAAAGCTGCACAGCTAGAAGGTGGCAGGGCCAGGAATTGGAACCAGGCAGTATGATTCCATAGTGTACACTCTTCACCTCCAGCTATATTGCTGTACATGGCTCCCTGTTCGTGGACATAGACCTTGCAGGAGAGGGACACGCTGAGAAGTTAGCTCAAGGGATTCACAAGCCCACATGCAAAACCCAACACTGTTGAGAGACTAAGCAAAATTGTTTATCCTTACTACTGTTCTAATAATTGATATAGCAGTTAATGATTCCATTTTAAAAAGCAAAATGAATTGTTAGTAGCTTTTTATTTTGTTTTCTCCTCCACCAATGGATATTAAAATTACACCATTCGTGTTGTTAAAGATTGTTTTTTAATTTTAAAGAAGGGTGATATGCTACCATCAAAAGAAATGCAGCTCAGGTGCAAATTAAGAGGAAAGGAATTCAGATATTATTTTGGGGATAATGTGACTTAAGGTTAACCATGCAAATTATTCCTTCTCTGGGGATTGAGACCTTGAGTTCAACACTTAAGTAGAACGGCCGATGTAAAAGATGCTCTTAGGTGCTGCCACCCCATCTTTGGAGTTTTCCATGGAGGGGAGGCAGATGCCCTAGTTCCCAGAGCTGAATGGAAGATGTGTTGATGTTGGTGAATTGGGAAGAGGATGAAATGGTTTGCAGCTTCAGAAATGTGGGGACACTAACACACTAACATTAGTAGGTTTCCCAATTGGGAGATATTTACCCATCAGATGTCATTTATTTACCAGATATTTATTAAGCCCCCACTGCCTGTTAGATACTAAACAGTCCTCACATTTGGATGGATGTAGGAAATGGTTATTTACCAATGAGGTGTGGGTATGCCTGAATATTACTCGCTTTGTCCTTCAAAGCGTGTAAGTCAGCTAATGGCAAAAATACCCATACTGAGTACTAAACAGAGATGTTGTCCATCTAATGTGGGAGTGAAGATAAAGTAATAATTCAGACTTGGGGTTATTCATAAAAATCTTCATGGCAGAGATGGGCCTTGAAGGGATTATGGTGGAACTTGGCAGGGGGCAAGGGCAGTTCCTGCCAAGGGAGAGCTATATGAGCAAGACAGGGGTAAGAACATAAGCAACAAAACTATACATTTTTGTTTGGCAGGCATGAAGTGTGGCTGATAGAGGACTTGTCTGAAGAAGTAGATTGAAGCAAAATGAAATACATGGGGTGCCACACTATAGAATGTGAACTTTTAGCCATTGGAAGATGACCTTACCTGAAACTCAGAAGGCCACCCTAAATTCCATGAAAGAACATTCCCCTTTTGTCAGCTCTGAGTATATGATGCCCCTTATCATGCCAGAAAACACTGTGATACCAACCTGGGGTCCTTAGTAATTATGAGCCATCTCCCCCAAGGACTGCACTTCCCCTTTGCGTCCCACCCTCCCTGTGAGGTTATTAAATAAGTCTCTACCTGGGTCACAGCATCAGGATGCAGCACACAGCTTTTTCACCTTAAGGGCACTGTGCCTTTCTGATCTAATTGTTCTGCTCAAACATCCCAAGCTTGTTGAACATGGAATTGATTGGCTCTTGCACTCCCTGGATTGGTGCTGTGTTTTTCCAAGGGATTCTACAAGTTTTGGATATGATCATACACAATGACAGAGTGGGTGGTAGTATTTTTCCCATGCCTCTAATGTATGTTTTTGTGCTGGGGTGATGATTTAGATAGGAGCTCGATAAATTGATCAAATAAATTGCTCCAAACCTGCACACCATTATTTCAGGGAGTTGTCATCATACCAAGGAGGTTCTATATCATCTAGCGTGCTGGTCTGGGGGAACCGCTGTGTTTTCTTAACGTGCTGTTGGGCTTTCATTTGGTCAGAAAGGTATTTATTTCTCAGATTGGCCACCCATATAGGGAGTTTAGCTCCAGAAAGCAATGATTAGCTGTGGAAGCCAGTGATTATTAGTTGTGTGCCCTTTCACATGTTATTCAGACTCTCTAAGCCTCAGTTTCCCTTTCTATAGAATGTGGATGTATAATTCCTACCCCAGATGTTTGTGGTAAGGGTAAGCAATAATGTATTGGAAAGACAGTGGAAAGAATCTGTGTGTCAGACAAATGTAGACTCATATCCTAGCTTGATCACTAGTTGTATACATCACTGGTCCTATGTGAGCCTCAGTTTCCCAGTCTGTAAAATGGTGTTGATGATAATTCCAAGGGAATATCTTCTCCAAGTGGCATGATGGCATTATCTAAAGAAAGCCCGGTGGATCTCGTGCCCTGCTTAGAAGAGCCAGAGACAGCAGCATCCTAAGAGACTGAGTACGAGCCTGACTCACCTAAGATGCTAAATGTACCAGAGACTGAGGCCAGTGCCAGAGCTCTGGGGACAGAGGAGCAGATGTTCCTCCAGATGACACCAGTCTGTAAAATGGTGTTGATGATAATTCCAAGGGAATATCTTCTCCAAGTGGCATGATGGCATTATCTAAAGAAAGCCCAGTGGATCTCGTGCCCTGCTTAGAAGAACCAGAGACAGCAGCATCCTAAGAGACTTGAGTACGAGCCTGACTCACCTAAGATGCTAAATGTACTAGAGACTGAGGCCAGTGCCAGAGCTCTGGGGACAGAGGAGCAGATGTTCCTCCAGATGACACTCCTGTGTTAACACGATGCTTGTTGACACGAGATAAATATATTTGAGAGGAAGGAGTGAGTGTGAGAGCAAACCGTGCTGGAAGGAGGAGTTCAAAGGGCAGCAGTTCTCTGTGGGCTCACGTCTCGTCAACAAGGGTAATCCCTTCCTCTCTGATGGGAGAAAGCGATCTTAATCAACGCCCAGAAAGCCAGTCAGGTGATATGCTGGGGCAGGGTGAGAACTGGGGTACGTGGAGAGCGGTGTGTCCGTCTGTGAGCTTGCGCTCCGTGGGTTAGGGACTGGGTGAATGCACACTCGAGTGAATGGTTTGGAGTTCTGGCTTTATCACAGAGTAACTGGGTGACCTTGGGCAAGATAACTAACTGCTCTGGGCTTCCATTTCTTCTCTATAAAATGGGGATAATAAAAAAGCCACCCAATTGTGAGAATTAAACATGTTAATGTAAGTGAAGCACTTATGTGGGGCCCTGGCACTTAATAAAAACACCCAGTAAATGAAAGCTATTTTTATGATGATTTGCCATTGTTATATCCTGTGTGGCTTCTCCCTTTAAGACCTTTCTGTTCTCTGTACTCTGCAGGTCAGCAGGTCCTGGGCTTGGTAGAGAACCAGAGTGACTGGTACCTTGGAAACCTGTGGAAAAATCACCGCCCTTGGCCAGCCCTTGGAAGGGGTTACAACACAGGTAAGTCACAGGGTGGCATGGTCAGGGGTTACAAAGGTGAGGTGAGGGCTCAGTGCTCCTTTGTCAGGGAGAGGAGAGAGGCAAAGCCTGGGAGGAGGCCACCTGGGTGATGGAATTTGGCAGGGGGCGGTACATAGGCTGTTGACATTCCAGTTCTTTCTTAGTGCCAAGGCTGCAGGTAAAGTAGTTGTCAGGCCTTGGCAGTCTGCAGCAGTCTCACCAGAAAGCCCCTTTCTCAACCTTCAGACCTAGATCCTATGGGACATCTTTATCAGTATGACCCATGGATTCCTTGGCTCTGTTAATATAGACTACAGGTCACTGTGCAGTAACACACAACCGAGCATTTCAGTTCCTTAACACAACAGAAATTAATTTTTCTCAATAACATCACATGTCTGTTTTAGGCCTACAGGGATCAGTGCTCACTGTAGGTATTCAGGATTCATCTCGATGCATACTTCCATGTACAGGTGGGAAAGTAACAGAAGTCATATTATCTCTTAAAGTTTCCACTCAGAAGTGACACAATTTCTGCTCAGATTTCATTATTTAAAGCATGTCACCTGGCTACACCCTTCAAGGGGTATGGGCAGGTACATCTCGACCAAGTGCCTGGAAGGAGAAAATGCAGAGATATTTGGTAATGGGCACTTCTGAGCAGCACAGTCC